TACGCCTTTACCGTCCCGGGGCTAGGATTATTTGAGTTTGTATGAATGCCCTATGGAGTAAGCGGTGGACCTGCGACTTTCCAAATGTTGACTAATACGCTAATTCCGTTCGAGATGGAGCCTCATGCCTTTGTCTATATCGATCACTTAATCATAGCGACGGAAACCTATGAAGATCATCGCAAATAGCTAATTTCTATTCTCAAAAGGATCAAAGAGGCAGGGTTAACCATCAATCGTAAGAAATCACGCATATGTATGATTAAAGTACGCTACTTAGGTGTCCTAGTCAATAGGGATGGGACTCGTCCCGATCCTGGAAGGGTTTGGCCCATTATAAACTATCGGCCGCCTAAAAACCATAAGCAGTTGCATAGGTTCCTAGGCATGGCGTCATGATATCGGAAATGTTTACTCGATTTCGCGAGTATAGCGGATCCGCTTACCAGGTTAATCAAGAATGACATTAATTATGTGTGGACTGAAGCACAGCAAGACGCTTTCGAGCATATAAAAGGATTGACTGCCACCACTCCCATCTTAGCTAGATCCGACTTCGCGGCTCCGTACTTCGTGGAATGCGACACCAGTGATTCGGGACTGGGCAGCGTACTCTTGTAGCACATAGACGAAGAAGGAAGAATACTCTTTTAATGCCAGCCAAGCACTCAGTATTACCGAGTAGAGGCTCTCGATAACTGAAAGAGAGTGTCTCGGGGTGATATGGGCGATTGAAAAGTTCCGACCTTATATAGAAGGATAAGTGATAACCGACCACTATAGCTTTAAATGGTTGCGGAATCTAAAGCCTCCAAACGGCAAGCTAGGGTAATGGTCCCTTAACCCTATAATCTTCCTACATAATAAACAATTCATAACACCAGACCATTGTACCCTTAACCTAATGAATCCCTAAAGAATACTAGTACCAACCTACAAGCAGGCTACTGTCCTCAACCCATTTATCGCTGATTTTTGGTTGAAATAATTGTCAAACCGAAACCTAGGATAAAAAAAGTCACGCCTAAAAATAAGTATCTAATATCATACATTGTCTTATTACTTTCAAATGAACTTTATTAAAAAAATATTCTTATAAAAGACTATATTTTTGACTCACATGTAAATTAAAATGTATTATTGCCATAGTTTTTACAGTATCACAATAGTAATAATCTTCAAAGAAGTGCTTGAAACATAATGACTTTTTACACTAACCACAGCGTATTATTGCAATTTCTTACATCCTTCTAGATGTAGCTCAAGTGGGGATGCGTCAAGCGTGAAGAGAAAAAACAGAGTTGAGTGGGAGTTAAGCATAGATAATCAGATAGTTAAGGAAATAGTCAGGGAGTCAAGTAGGAATGGTCAGGGAGTTAGATAAGATGCAAACGATCGAGTAGCGGATCAGTCAGTGGAGGACGTCAACGGCAAAGTGATAGTGCGAGGAGCGATAACAGCAGAAGTAGGAAGTACAGAAGTACAGAAGGAGGAAGCTGCTCAACGGAAAGAAGCGCTTTTGAGGAAAGGTGACTTACAGCTTCCCGTTCATCGAGGAGCCGCAGTAAATTCAAGGTCAAGTGCTCTTCCAGAGTTTTCACTCTCTCTCTGTCTCTCTCTCTCTCTCTCTCTCTCTCTCTCTCTCTCTCTCTCTCTCTTTTGCCAGACGGGGTTCCACCTCATTGGCGCAATAAACGAATTAATCTAATCTCTCTCAGACGTGGCGTTCGTCCTCGCCCGTTACGGGTGCCGCGATAGTTAATCGTTCATCTGCCAACTATTGCGACGGTCCTTTGTGCCGGTATTTACGCCGTTGCCGCGGCAATATCGTGCCAGGCTGACTGATTGTCGGGCTTCTTTGTACAGTAGGTTGAGTTATTTTGTAGAATATAGGATAAGATTTGGAATTAACGAGTCTACAAAGAGTCATTGCCTCTCTTCCGCGTCCTAAACAATTGGTGACGAGCCGTACTATCTCGTTACAAAGTCTATATGGCTTTATTAATTTCATTAATTGATCTTGCTTCTGATAATATAAAAACGCATTTTACTGCTTTGTCATGGAAATCTCATGACACGCCTTAAGATTGAGCACCGATTCTGTTCAGCTGTGGAGGCTGCATATAAACCCTTCACACCGCTGTTCGCTCGGCATCGAATGTATATACTTCTAAAGTTACGCGCTGATTTTTGAAGCTAATTATCTAATTACTCAATTATCGAAAAAAAAATGATTGCATCATGACGTCTGAGTCACTTTCTCAGGAACGTCTGAAGCAGACATTGTCTCAGGTGCTCGAATCAGTTTGCGCTTCGACGCCTTAACGAGGATGAGCAATTAGAGAGGGAAGAGCTGCTAATTTCGCGAATCTCGAAAATATTAATTTATCTACTACAAGACTTCCAGCGAACACTTGACAGAATGGAGTTGGGTTTTGTATGTGCGTATCTCAGACCTCGCTGATATACTCTCATCAAAGTAAGATTTTCTTTAAAACGGTGCGATTGTCTTATGGCAGAATATTTCAACCACGCCGCACTATTCTACTAAGACAAAATAAAATTGTATCGATAAGCTAATAATAAGTAGTGAGAGGAGAGAAAAAGGAAGTTAAATAAATTAGTATGATTCGACTTATTTTTCTTTATTATTTGTATCCAACTTTTCATTGTTGCCGAGTTTTTTTCCTCTTTACAACTTAGACACTAAATTAATTTCTTTATCTGTAGGTTACGGTAGCTGACTTTCCGCTCGCGCACACTCTTTTGATAGTGGATATAACAGCAGTTTTCTAATTGGCTAACTGCAATCTTTCCACTTTTCTCTTTTATTTTTTAGGTGTTAATTGATGCGGATGCGTGGGAAAATTCGGGGCGTGAGCTTAAAGGTATGGGCGCAATCTCGAGAATGGCTCTACAGGTATCATTTTTTCTCTATTTTCTAAATTAATATTAACTTTCTTAATTATGTAAAATTTTTATGTTTTAAGTAACAAAATTATTTTTTTAATTATTTTGAATTAATACCTATGAGAAAATTTCAGAATCTACGTTTTTGGTTTTTTATTTCATAATTACAGTTTTAAACAACATTATTATTTGTTATTAATGTTGCGAATTAATTGTGTGCATTAATATTATAGTTTATATCAAAATTATTCACATAGATGTTGATATTTATCCAATTTTAAGTTAATATTTAGCGTGATACAGCGTTTAATTAAATTGTTATTAATAATCGTGTTTCGAATTTTTCCTTCAGGGCAAGTTTCGCGCAATAAATTCTAAAACTCCCGTATAATAAGTTATTATCATATTAATTTGATTTATTTTTAGCTAATTTATTTAATTTTAGCTAATTTGTTCAATAAAAATCACATTAAGTTATCGAATATTCAACTTCAATTCGGTATCGCACAGTGCACACAGGACTATTTACTAAAGCAAGAATATTATTTTTATTTACTGATTTAACCATTTTCTAGATAACATCAAATTTTGTACTCAATTTCTTTTCCATGTTAATTTTTTTAGATTTCTAATAAGAAGAAATCCGTTAGAAAAATCGTGATACAGGATGTAGATGAAATTGCGCAGACTCCTTACGCTACATCTAAATCTAGTTAAAAAAAAACTTTACAATCATTCTTCGTAAAGTCGGCATATGCGTGACAAAAAGAAGAGCGTCCCGTATTGCAGGCCATCTATTTGGTTCTTGAATTACGGGTCTTTCTCTTCTTTCGATGCAGAAATACCTTTTCCTATCCTATTTTCGTACTACAACTTATATGACACCCGAAATTAGGGTAATAATCATAAACTGTTAATTACGAGAAAAAAGATCTTATTATTAACACTAGTGGAAGTGGGGATCATAAGTCCATCTATAGAGGATATTGATGAATCAATAAGAAAATCAATAGATATTAATGAAGAGAAAGAAATTTTTTTCGACGATAGCGCTGGTGATGAAAAACCTACATTGCATGATTAAGCTAGTTTAGACGATTTGATACGAGATCTCAACTTTACGAAAGATAAAGTTGAGTTTTTTATCTGAAAACTTTAAAGCAATAGTCTATAGAACACGAAGTGATAAGTATAGTGATTTCTTATTGAAGGAAAATGCATTAGTATATTGTAATGTCAATCAAAGACTTTTTAATTCCTACGAAGACAATTTATATAAATCAGAGGAATGGCGTCTACATATTGATTTTTCCACAAAAAGTTTGAAAATTATCTTACTATCTTACTATTATCAAAGAAACATTTTCCACAAACTACATGCAAGCCCCAGGATTTTCCCTTCAAAATCCGGTAATTTTGATTTGAAACATTTTTCGATAAATTATATTATTGTAGAATAGTTTAAATACACATATTAAAAAAAATAACATCTGCATGATTTTATCAATTATCTTGGGGTCTTCTGGACTCAATACATGATAGATCATCTAAACGTAATATTTTTCGCTGACTCCGACTCTGGCATTAAAAGTAAGAATTTTTATTTATCTATAACATATTTATAATACGAAAGTTGACTTTAAAATAACTTTCATATCCAAATCATGATCATTACCTGGTTCGTCAATAACAGAACTACAAACTTTATCTGAAACTTTTTTCCCGATAATGCATTTCATTTGAGTTTTTGAATGGTCCCAAAAATTTTAGGATACTCCGTATAACTGTTGATAATATAGGATTATATACATATTATAATAATATTTATAGTTCATTAGTGTCGAGTTTCGGCTTGATCCTATCAATTTTGAGTTATCAAGCTTCCTGTTAGTATTATTTATATTATTAAATCAATCCGATTTTACAAAGGGATGACTAGGAAAAGTTGTTGAAAACAAGATTTATACTAAACTCAAAAACGAATGACTATTTAAGTTATGTCTTAATTATATCTTAAATGAACATAACATCTAGGAATTCAGATCTTTATATCTCAACTATAATGAAAATATAAATATAATCTTTATTACCTTCTAAAGTTTTTAATAACTTGCAAAATTCATGATCCAATAGTAATTCAGAATTATTCTTGGCAGAGGGTTGAGGTAATTTCAGGGAGCGAGAATAAAGTTCGTGTTTTGTTATATTTGTAATAGACTCTTGAAAATTTTCCAATCCTATTCTATTTTCAATTAAGCGGCACAAATTTTCCTGCAACATATTTTGATATTAATACTTGATATGAAAATATTTGTTTAATAGATTAAATCGTGATAATTTTTGTACTCGAATAGTTTTAATTAATTCTTTATCAATTTCTGTTTCACAGAACGTCTAAAACTTCGAAGATGGACTTCTGTTAATCGTAAAAGAAGGTATATATACAATGATGTGTATAATATATCATATATTTATGAATTGTAACGGAGAATCTGCCACAGTTCCCGTCTGTGTAGCTGTATAAAATTATTTATTTGGGGATTCGGACAGCAAAATACATTCCCACGACTGAATAATGGGTCGAGCACAGCTACGTTAAACGCACAGATTCGAAGTCGGGATGAGGAGTGATACAGCGGCGAATAAACACAACAGCGGATTAACACACTAATCCTTTAATCGTCAACAATAGGTTACAATACGGCGATCTCGCGCTTATACACTGCGAGCGGTACAATAATAAATCCGAACGCGGAGGTGAATCGGTGGCTGGTCAGCCTGCCGATTCCCTTTTTTAAGAAAAATTATTACAATAATGCCCGACAAACACTTTCCGACGTTAATTCATCAACGGGGTAGCTAGAAGGTCTGTCGTACTAGCACCAATAAGATGGCGCCCAAACACGCAAGAGAGAGAGAAAAACAAGAGAAAACACGGCACCGACCTCGACCTTCAGCCTCTCTGATGGCTAGAACGCTGTGCAGTGTGACCTCACTAGTGCGCTCATTCTCGCTGATCGTCTCGCTGGTGTTTGTTGTCGTCGCTATTTTCCTCTTGCTCGTCCTCTCGTTCGCTCTACAATACTGCTGCCTCAATCCACTGCTCCGCTCGTTGATTGTTGTCGTTGTTGTTTCCGCTGCCGTTGCTCAGTACTGCAGTAGCGATAAAGTCCGCTCATGCACGCACCCGCTATCGCTGAGAGCGTTGGACTTCCACTCCTTGTGGACCGGTTTTCCACTAATCTACGGATCGGCTCGCAGTTCGCACAGGTGCGGAACGTACAGTTCGGCGCCTGGTAGTTCTGGCATGACTCTGTCGACCGACCCAGAGGACAACCCAGAGCATAATGTCCCGGTTGACGATACCGGAAACAAATTGAGCTTCTCTGCGCTTGGCCAGTCTCTGAGAAACATCTCTATCTCGCCCGTTCCTTCGGCTATTCTGACGTTGAGTGACCTACATATTCCCCCCTGTTGGACAGCCAGACCTCTGCGTGATCGGAGAAGATGGTTTACAAAGCTGGAAGAATCTCGTGATCCGAAAGCCTGTATATTTATATGCAGAGCTCCAACCTCTCCAAGAAACGCTCAGCTGACAATTCTGAAGCTCCGGTGAATTTCAGGTTCTACGCTGCGCAGTCACCGCATTAGCCCGACTCCCATTCAAGCGCCTTCTCTTGTCTCAAGGGGGCCACTTACTGGAGCTCAACCGTGCTCGATTGTCACGGTGTGACCGACATTGGCAACGAGTACATGATCTGTCTTCCTCGCTGGTGGAACTGATGTCACTCGCCTCGCTCGACTGCGAAGAACTCACGCGCCTATCTCGTTGCCTCCTGCCTGGCCTCCGCCTGTGACGTGGTCGCCTTTAGTTCGTCTCACTAGACGATTTCAGCGAAGACGTCGGCAGACCCAAATTTCTGGCTGGTCTCGCTCCCTATCACTCGTCGCTGAAGCCACTGATCCCCATCCCAGCTTCTTCGAAAGTCCGTCAGGACCTGAAAGCTGGGAAGCCTGGGCTGACTCACTCCCTGCTGTGGCGCGATTCCCGCACGCGTCGACGACACTCGAGAAACGTCTGTGGCGGTGGTGCGCCGCCGGAACCACATCCCTGCCACAGCTTGACCACCTGTACCAAACACGAACGCCTGCAAGACCAGCACTAGCTGATCAAGCATTGCTGGGTCTATCTGCGCGATGGTCGGCTGCAAAGTAGGACCCGGCAATCCTGAAACTTCAGCCCCAACACCAGGATACGCCGCACTACCCCGAGGCACGACCGAGGCAAACACGGACGTCTCGTTTCCTCTCTCGACCTCCGTTCGGTTCGCGTCCAGCGTACCTTTCAACAAAGGTTCGCTGCGCGACGTCGGATTGGTCAGCCGACCCTGAAATCAAAATCGTGTGCTCCATCCCAGAAGGACAGAACAAAAAGAGTTCATCACCTCCTAAGGGATTCGAGTGAGTCTCACGCGTTAACGCCTGCTCCAGCATATTGGGCAAGCTCTGATCCGCCCCTATATCTTCATCGTCACCGTGGATGGGCTCTGGAAACAGATCAGATAAGAAGTCCTCGGGGTACAGGGGAGCGCCGGTCTCAGATCGCGATTTCATCATGAATGTGCGGAAAAAGCGATCCTGTAGCACGACTAGCTTCCCTTCCGTACTCAAGCTCTCCTGGAACATCACCTCGGTCAACTGTTTCAGTGACATCTTCAAAATATGCGCAGCCTTTAGACTACGGGACCTTGGAGACGATTAGCACTGTGGAAGTTGCGCATGCAGCGCCGAGCGTGACAGTTGACTTGATGCTAGCTACAAGCCACTCGAACGCCGCGCTTAGTCATAACGATGGAGGTACCGCATGAAGCGCTCTCGTCGAATAGTACCTTCGTTGGTGGCTGAACTTACATGTTGTCCCCTTCTCGTTTAAAGCTTTATACGAGGTCTGTCCGGAAAGTATCGGACCTACCTTTATATTTTCGTGCTAGCGTTATTCTTTATCATCTGGTGGGTGGCATCCTTCAAACTAATCCTCACTTGATTGAATAACACGGTTCCATCGATGTTTCCACTTTTTAAAACAGTCCTGGAACTCACTTTTGGGGATAGCCTTAAGAACACTCGTCGCATTGTTTTCAACCGTTGTTTTGTCATCGAATCGGTGTCTTTTAAGTGGTTTTTTTAGTTTTGGAAACAGCCAAAAGTCACAAAGGGTTATGTCGGGACTGTATGGAGGTTGTCGAAGCAATGCGATATTGTGTTTGCTCAAAAACTGCTGCAGAAGATCGGATGAATGCGGTGGCGCATAATCGTGATGGAGAAGCCAGTCACCACTTTCCCAAAAGTACGGCCGTTTTCTTCTTACTGCATCATTCGTCAGGCGGTTCATAGGTTCAGATATCATGGTGAAGTCGGGTAGAATACGTCTATACCACCTCATGCCCATGAATCGCTTTACCTGTTTGACTGTCCTTGGTGTTGGATACTCCAGTATCAGTCGTATCTTCTCAGGATCTGGTCTTACTCCGTCCTGGTTCACGAGAACTCCCAAGTACCTTACTTCCGTCTTACAGAAGTGTCTTTTGGTTTTATTAATGGTTAGGCCCGCAACCAAAATTCCCTTTAATATGTTTTCCAAGTGACACTTATGATTCACAAATGACGACGAAACCACAATTACGTCGTCGAGGTAAGCAAAAGCGAAAGGATCCATATCCGGGATCCTATCACCTTATCCATCAACATCTGGTAGGTCACTCCCGAATATGACAGTCCGAAGGTCATTCTCTTGAATTGAAAGTGCCCTAATCCAGGTACTGTAAACGCTGATATCGGACGCGATTCTTCCTTTAGGGGAATTTGATGGTATGCACTGCTCAAGTCCAGAGTAGATATGAACTGTGCATCCCTTATCCGTCTTAGGATGTCGTTCATATATGGTAAAGGGTAGGCATCAGGTTTGGTAATCGCATTTACCTTTTGGTAATTCACGCAAAACCTATATTTTTCATCAGCCTTCTTTACCATTACTATTGGACTTGACTATCCGCTGGTCGCTGGTTCAATTACATCTTTTTCCAGCATATCTTTGACCAGCGCGTACATTTCCCCTCGCACTCTATCAGAGACTGGGTAGTATTTCTGTTTGATGGGTCGAGCGTTTCCAACATCTATTTCGTACTCAACCCCCACGGCACAGCCTAAAGCCTGACCTCCACCAGGAATCAATCCATTAACGAGGTCTTCTATTACCTCCAGCTGTGTTTCCGTGGCCTCCCACAGTCCTACCGGTGCGAGAAATGCCGTACCATCAATTCCAGTCACTTCCATTGGTACTTTCACTTGGGCGTCCTTGAGCCATAACTCATCCTCGTCGGGATCCAAAACTGCGCGGAACTCTCTTATAAAGTTCGCGCCTACGTAGCAGTCGTCCGTGAGCAGTGGCGTAATGGCGACTCTGATTTCCTTCGTGATTCCTAGTACTTTAAAGGGGAACATCACGTGACCAATTATAGGGCATGGGCGCCCATCAGCGTGCCTTGCATCGCCCGCTCTGGTCACATTCAATTCGAGTCCCATCTCCGATGCCAATCTCAACCCTAATTAACACATGACCGTGGATGAGGCGCCGGTATCATAGAGTTCTCTAATTTTAGAGTCACCTATGTCTATCCGCAACCACCACCTGGTCTCATCCTCTGGGTCATATCCTTGAGTCATATCTTTTCTTCTCTTCGTCGTGCTTTTCAGCGGCTTTTTTCCTTCCGCTGCTGCGTCTATGATGGGCTTGTTTTCACTCGTGGATTCCTTCAGCAGGGGAACTTTTTGTGTGGTCTTCGGGTTGCTCAATCCTTACATACGTCGAACCTTCTCCCTCCTCCACAACTTGTATGTGACCACCTGGTCCATCCAGGATGACCACTCCCCTATTCTGCCGAGGGCTGGCATCGGGCTCGATCGCCTTCTGCTCCAACGTACTGCTAGGTCCTGAGCTTCCTTGATGCCCTACCGGGACCTGTTTGGATCCTTGGGTCGCCGACAACTTGCTGTTTCCCAGCGACGACCTGCAGCGAGAGGTCGAATCTACTGGAAGCGCGAAGATGACCTCTTCTCTTCGCTCTCCTTGCCGTTTCCCTTGTTACAATCTAGGCAGAATTTACGGCTGAATCTCATCTTGCCACAAGCGGAACACTGAAGAGATTTCGTGAAGTCGATCTTTCGCCTCCGTCCTTCTCGCCACTCGCCAGGAGACCTGGAAGGAGGTGAATTCTTCCTTCTCCCACGTCATCGGCTTTTGCGCTATTCTATAGGGGTATCCTGCTTTTAGTGGCCATTTGGCGCTGGCGCCTTTCTATTTCCTTCAGTCGTTCCTCTATCTTCTTATCAGACAAAGTATTTTATACTTCGGTCGTTCTCCTATTAAATTCGCGTATTGACGTTAACTTACTTTGACGCAGCTGTATCTGGATGTTCGGAAAGAGGTTTGCATGCAACAGGTCCAATAACCTTTCCAAAGTCATTGGTGGTTCAAATCGATTAAAAAGATCTACCAGGTTGGACATATAATCTCTCACTAATTCGTCTTCGCTCTGGAACCGGTTCTGAACTTCCTGCAACAGCCTTTGTTGCTGTTGTGTACTGGTGCCGAACCATTCTCGGGCGTCGGCGACAAATTCGACGTAACTCAGCCACTGGTGCTTGTTGTTATCGTACTAGGTCCTCGCGTTACCTTCGGGGATCTCCGATACGGAATCAAAGCACCTCGACATCGGTTAGTCCTGCGCCCACACGCAGGTCTTCTAACCGTGACAGAAACCTGTCCACGCTCTGTGCCCTCCTGCCCGCAAACCTCAATTTCCATCCGCGGACAATTTTTCCCACATCTCGGATTATGGAGAGCCCTGAGGATAAACGGGGAACGGTGTCAGACGATACGCTTCGACTTCTTTGCTGAACTCGTGCGGATCTTCCGTAATTCTCTTGATCCTTTTCACCTCCTCTTCTTTGGAGGGCTTCCGGTGTGGTGACGTTTCTTCTCCTGGGGATGGGTCTCTGAGAAGCCGATGTGCTTCCTGGAATCTCTGAGTGGTAGTGGCAGGTGAATGTGTCCTAGAAGTCCACATTACGTCTGGGGCGCAGTTGAAACGAGTCACGCTGCGACAAACGGACTGCATCGGTCATTTCATGCATTCCATCCTCCAGCTCTCGTATTCTCTGGCGCATATTCTGCGCCTCCCGCTCCGCACACATCTGTATGCCCTGGAGAGTTTGAAGGGTCTCTAGAATCCGGTAGACCAGTTTGCGGTTGCAGTCGACTCCCTCCTTTAAATACTCTATTTCCCGGAAGGCTTCGCCCAAGGAGAGTTCTCCTTGGGGTTCCTTCCGGGTCCAGGGTTCTTGCGACCTCAGATCCGGGTTTCTCCATCTCCTCTCCCTCTCCTCCTGTTCCTGGGTGTGGAGGACTCTCTGGATGACGGCATCCTCTTCTTGGCAGCTGGCTTCAACCTCCGAGTCCTCATTCAGGCAGGCGAATGTCTTTGATGTATTTGTCAAGGTTATTCCCTCCCTATTGATAAGTCTCAATGGATGATCGCTGTGCTCCTCTGCGCTGAGATTTTCCAACTCGTCGCAATTTGTATCGAGCCACGCTTGTTGAGTGCGCCTCCTGCGCCGCGCCACCTGTTTACTATACGTGGTCTCCTCAAAATCTGCAACGCTGTACTCACCCAGCAACCATCTCCCTAGTTTAGCCACCTGCTGGATGACGCTTCCGTCCCTGAGCAGCTCTAATTCTGCCAGGTAGCGTCCGCACTGTGCGGAAGTCAGCTCTAATGCCCACGTGTTGATCTGGGCTGACAACAGAGCCATCTTGCTTCCGTACGGGTATAGGATGCGATCGAGGTTTAAAATATCGGCCTATTCGACCACTACCGCTTCCTATCACCCAAGGTATGAGCGGGATATTACACTAATTAGTGTTACTACCTTTACTGCCTTCTTTTCAAGGCGCAAAATCGCGAGGTTATGAGCACGTGCAGTTCCCGCAAACTATCTAATTATAAGATAAAATACCCAACCTATAGGTCGGAGCCCACCGTTTGCTTGCTCCACCTGGCTAATATTTCTAGGCTGCACGCTTGGTTTGCGTTCTCTGCTCTTATCGTCGCTCAGATGCTTCCGGCCCCCCTTTATCCACTAAACCGTGGCTCAAACGGGCTAGCATCTGTTAATAAACAATGATTTGGGATCGCTTCGACTTATTAATTATTACCGCTTTCGGCCCTTATTTACAATAAATATTAAAATTTATACAAAAAAGGGTCGAAGTGATTCCCTTTTCTCCCTGCAGAGTACGCACCGCTCAAAATCTCACGCTAACATCCGTTCAAACCTTCCTAAGCGCTCGCGCAATCGTCTCTCTCTCTCTCTCTCCCGTGCGTCGATTACCTTCGACGCACAATCCTATTCACATAAAATGGGTCTTAATGCTGCTTGGGTGCCATGTAACAGAGTGTATTAGCTGGTACAAAATTTTCGCCTCAGGGTGAGCAAAAGTACGTGGCGGGCACTGTATATATGTATGTGTATCGATTGATCCAATCGACTACCGTTGCAATATATATATATAGTTAATTTCATGTCTTTCTCTGTCGTACTGTAGATAACAAAATACATTGAAACAATATCTAGTATCTAATAAACTAGCCACGTTGTAAAGTAAAGTCTTAACGCTGATTTTGGGTAAACTGATATATAAATGTAAATACTAATATGTATCGAAAAATATTTATCGGATAATGAGTAATTCTATTAAGTTTTGAAATGTTCAGTTAACATTACAATTCAGAAATTACAAGACACATCGTAGTATGGTATACAATAATGTGTTATTAGCGGGAACTTCTATTTATATCAACGGATGATATCACAACATTGGTTAAAATCCCTGTTCATTTTTACTCAAAATTAATAAAAATGAAAAAAAATTTTTTTTTATGAAATCATTATAATTATATTCTTCATTCGAAAATACACCTTTTTTACCACTAATAGATTGATCGATAAGTTATTCTAGGATTAGAAATGAAATTGAAATACTTTTACATATAACATGGATTCACTATTTATGACACCGATTCGTATCACCACTACTCGTTTCTGTGTTACAGCTTCAATACTCAACTCTTTAAATTGTTTTGTAAATATCTAGTAAAATGTTATTCTTATCTGTCAAGTACTCATAAAATACGTTATGTATATATAAAATATACATATAAATTTTAACTAGTTAATGGCTTTTTTGGAGCAGAAAAACGAGCGAAATAGTGAGAAGAGAAATAAAGAGAATCGCAGAGAAGAAAACAAAAGGTGACTTGAAAAGGCGTCAGGGAAGGGGATAAATTGGCAAACGCCAGTCAATATGGTTTAAGTAAATGAAAAGTACATAAGTGAACGAGCACGCTTCTACCTTAAGGTTCCACTTTTAACATGTGTAAATAACTTCAAGATTTTAATATATAACCGAAATAGAGAAAATTAGAAGGTGCGTTAATTTGACCATAATATAAAACTCTTGAGAAAATTCTTACCTTCGAATAATGAATCACAGTATCATCGTTGTACTTGACACATATTCCAATGAGGAAAGAACATAAACTTCGTAGCATCATTTCTTGCATATCTTCATTGTTTTCATTAGAAGATAGAAGCCCAATCAAGTAGGGCACGGATGAATTAATACTTAAAAAGAATTTCACAGCAAGAGAACAGTAACTAGTCCATGTACATAATAATGTCAAAAGGCCTAATTTGGATTGAATATTACTATTTTGATGTAAAAGAATAACACATTGTTCCATTAGCGTTATGGGTGGTGTGCCTATATTCGTTGCTAGCAAAACGCGAAGCAGCTGTTCTTTATTATTTGAACTGTCCATTACAGTATATGACAATGCTATCGCAGAAAGCCAGTTAGATAATGGATCTGGTGAAAACAACCCTCCACATAAAAGTTGTCCTAAAATCAAAATGAAAATTTCAAAAAAGAGACAGCGAATAAAAAACGTTTTATTCATTGTTTCCTATTCATTCAGTAAGTATAGATTTTTATTTTCAAAATAGACTGAATAATTATTTAGTTAGAGTTAGTGTATAAAAGTATTTTTTGAATCAGTAATTATCAATTTGAAATAGTTAAGTATATTAACATTTGACATATTTGAGGTCTGTAATATTGATTTATTTCCCCTAACACGTAGAAGATGCTTTAATGTTTATTTTTATAAAATACTTTATAAAAATAAAATAAATTTTATTTTTATAAAATGACTATAGGGAACCAAGCCTAATGCGTACAGGTACTTAGTTTACCTCTGCAGCGTTCCACGTGGACGTAGTTCTTGAAGTAATAACAATAACAATAACAATAACTTAAGATATTCATGTTTGACAACTCAGAGTATTCCACTTTGACTTAGATAGTACTCATAGGGCTTCAACGACTAAATAACTTAACAAAAATGACGACAAAAAGTAACGAGGGGATTACATTTGTTAATACAAAAAGTATGAAAATTTACTTGAATGAAAATCAACGAAGAAAGTATACACGTTTTTCACCCCAATTACCATTTTTTTCACGAAATAAATTAATTTTTTCATCCATTTATACAAATTGAACATATATTGATATAATCAATTATAGTGTTTACATTTATAATACAGTATTGTATAAAATACTACAATACTTCTTGTACTTGTAATTTCTGTATTGTAATGTTAACTATACAGTTTAAAACTCAATGAAAACCCGGAAATTATAACAAAATTCATGTTCTTCGCTAAAATCGTCAGTGTAAGACTTAAAAAAACGACAAATTTGGTACTTAAAGGAATTAAATACTAATGGACGCGAGAAAGGGTAATATTGTAGTATATCGATTTATCCGACTTGTTGTTATTACTACGTTCAGAGTATTCGTTTGAAAACTGCTTGGTTTTGTTATTGTTTGTGAGATGATTTTTTCTCATTGATGAATATGATGTTAACCTAATAAAATAAACTAACGTTTATTATATTATGCGTTCTTATTTATTACGGATAGAACAATTTTGGAGGTTTGTCCGGGATATTTTGTTGAAGATGAATTTAGATGGTTTTGATAAGTCGAAAAAAGCATCAGGTACACCATCACGGGTATCGTTTTAAACGAAGAGAATATCATAAGTTACTGCTGAAACTGCTGCCGCTGCTGTTATTGTTGAAGCTTTTGTTGCTACAACGAACATTATGTTATTAATTCCGTTCCTATGCATGCAGAAAATCGCAATTAACAACAATAAATATGTAACGGGGGCAGCGCCTTATTCGGCACTGACGTCACCAATTTATTAAGGGGAGAGTAAGAGAGGCACTTTCGCTCTTTAACAATCGCGGAACGAGAGGATAGGTCGAACGAATAAATAATTTTCCTTACTTGGAACATACAACTTAAATCTATTCAGACAAACAAATACAAAATCGGTTATAATAAAGTTTGCATGACGCGCACATGTACAGAACAACTTAAACCAACGCGGGAGGATGAATGGCCCGGCGACTAAATCGCCTTGACCATTTGCCTCCTTACAAAAGAAAAAATACGTCGAAACCTCTCTACCGCATTACGATGAGCGTAGCCGGCAAGTGATCGCCTGGCTACCTATCGTTCCTACGCGGCCGCGCATCACCATGAGAGAGAGAAATACCGGGAGAGAGAGATAACCTGACCTTTGTCCTTGGAGATGAGCCGGCAACGGGGAGTTGACCTGGCCGCTGGCTGGACGTCTTACTCGGCGTAGCCCGTGGTGAACCCCCTGGAAGTCATGCCGTGCATGGCGGCGAGGGCGACACTGAATGCCCTGCTGCAGGTGTTGCCGCCACACGTTGCCTCGGCTCGCCCTGGTCTGGGCACTGCTGCACGTGTACTTCTTCTTCTCTCATTGCGCTGCTACGTCCAACTTCTCTCCTCAACTTTCTTCCGGGAACTGGATCACGCGACTTGACGCATGGTCAGCGTTCGCGCTCTCGCCGGGCTCTCCCACCATGCCCACTCATTAGGCGGCGTGCGACAAAAGCGCTAATTGGTCGCGCGTCACACGCCGGCTCAAACCTGCATAGTGCGTGCATAGACGCGCACTCTAGCATGCTCGCTAACTCTCTCTCTCTCTCTCTCTGTCTCTCTGTCTCTCTCTACCTCATAGTCGCTGCGCTCTCAACCTTGCTCGGCAATCTTCGGCGGCTGGAAAAACATAAAGGCCAGTGGTTCGGCGCAATAAATATATGCGCCGAACGCTGACCACGTCGCCATGCCGAGCGATACGAGGGAGAGAGAGAAGGAGGGCAGACGAGGAGCAAGCGTACTGCTTGCTCTCGTCACAAATATATATGTTTTCCTTACAGTTTCTGAGCCGGGTCTTGCTAATTTAGGTAGCGACTCCGATGATTCGCGTTCGGTGGTTACTGATGTACATTCTCATGGTTCATGCAATGTAACTATAAGTGATGTGAGATTGGTAATGGAGAACAACATTTGTCTACGAACGCTAATTCGACATCGATGACTTTTCTGCCATCTGCCCTTCGTGACGCGCTCCTCAAATTGAACGAGAGGAGGAGTCCATTGGATGACTTTCATTACCAATTGAAAATTTTCCGAGCTGATCGAAAAAGTGAACGTCGACATACAAAACTCAGCCACAAGATTTTTATCTTGTGGCTGAGTTTTGTATGCGTGATTCAGACGTCATCGAAAGTCGACGAACTATTCAGAAACTATAGACGGAGTAACAGTCTCTACAACAACAACTTACTCAATTGAAACAACAATTAAACCAGATAAGTGGCGATGGAATTATTTCTACACAAATAGTACTTACATATGACAATACAAATACACTATCGAATAAGTTAACTGAGAATTCCAATATTAATACACCGTTGAAAGTTATATGTACGAATAATTCTGTTGATTTAGGTTCAGGTTATAATCTTTAAACTAACACTTATAATGGCACAACTCTTTTATCTGAATATCTAAATCAGTTTCACTTAATTACAATGACTAATGGTTGGACTAGTGATAAAAAGATCATTGCTGTAGCAGCTTCTTTACGTAATAAGGCAAAAAGCATATTAACGAGTTTTAAGAGTAGTGAAACTTTAAATTTTAAGTCATTATTAAAAAGATGAGAAGCGCGATTCAGTAAGAACTTAGAACCAAATTGTTACTTATTATTTTAAAAACGAAGACACAAACCTGGCGAAGATCGTCCAACTTTGGTTGATATAGAAAAATTAGCAGTATTAGCATATTCAGAATGTCCTGTAGAAGTTCAGGATAAAATTGCTTACTTTTAGTTTATTAATAGAACTTTTCATACAGGAGTTAGGGAAACTCTTCAATTAGAAAGAGTTACTTCACTTAAAGTAGCTCTTGCACGAGCTCTAGAAATGAAAGCTACTAAAGACCAAAATAAAAATTTCTTTTCGCAAAAACTTAATAACGGTACTTGAAATATTTTCAATTTCTCAGACAAAACTCATATTAAGGAAGAAAAATAGGATTAACCATTCAATCACTATAAATGGTTGAAAAATCTTGAATGTTAGAAAGAACATATACGTTCTCGTTATCTAAAATAAGACAACTAGGTCAAATCAAACTTTCGGAAGCGAGTTTGGTTGATAAACAGTAAAACTCCTGTTAATCCGTTTCGGCCAAAAACGCCACTCATGATATACCAGTCTTTGACATCTCGTAACTTATTTTGAAGATGTCAAAAAAACTTGAGAGGGGCATATTTGAAAAGCTTGAAATAAGCCCTTTCTGATAGTGAACTTCAAATTGATCAATATTATTAATATTTATGAAAAAATGGCGTTTGAACAAAAAAAAAGTATGAATTTTCTTCTCTATTTTATTTTTAAATCTAGTTTTCAAAAACTTTCACGTTCAGAGTTGACTTTTTTAACCGGCGTAACAAATGGTTGAACTTTAAGAATCCATGGTTTAAAGATCGATTTTTCACCTTAAAATTTTTAAAATGGCATCCAAACCGCAAAATTTTTTCAAATAATTCATGATTTTTTTTCTCGAAATCTATGAACTTATGGAAAAAGTGCTAAGTAAAGAAAAATACTTAAAATCAATTCAAAAACACACCTGAATTTTTTCGACGAGTTTTGAGAAAATTTTTTATTTTTTCAAATGACAACTTTTTGCAAAATACAAAAATTGTTCAAAATACGTCCAAAAAATTGTCATGTATTCTTTAGAGAATTTTAGAAACATTTTATTCTTGTCAATTTTTCTTAAACACACTGCTTTTCAATAAAAAAATTCTGTAACCGCAAATAACGTCTTTTACCTTCTTTCTTGTTTTCGCAATACCGATTAGTAACACTGTTCTACGAGGTGTGATCAAAAAGTAAGGTGAATTTTGAAATTTAGCGGGCTACGTCCGTTCGATCTTCGACTTTTTTATTTTTGGTTATGTCGGTACACTCGTCTAGAACATACGTTCCAAATTTCAGCTTTGTAGTATGTTTGGTTTGTTTGTGAGAGGCATCAAGGTTAGAAGTGTTTTGCGTGCTCCACGATTTGCTACTGTCTAAAAACATGGATCAAAGAGTTTGCATTAAATTTTGTGTGAAAAATGGAATCAAATGTTCCAAAATACTTGAAATGCTGAAAGTGGCATACGGTGAGTCTACTTTAAGCCAAAAAAATGTTTACAAGTGGTATAAACTCTTCCAAGAAGGCCGAGAAGACACCGACGACGAACCTCGTTCTGGACGCCCCAGCACATCAACAACTGATGAGAATGTTGAAGAAGTGAAGAAAATAGTGTTGGGAAATCGTCGAATTACCATTAGAGAAATTGCTGATGATATTGGCATCTCATTTGGTTCGTGCCAATCAATTTTGACGAGTGTTTTAGACATGAGACGTGTGTCAGCGAAGTTTGTTCCGAAAT